TTCTTGTTTATTCATTTTTGTGTTTCCATTAGTACATGTATGTAATAGAGGCATCTCTTTCTAAAAATGTTGGTAGCCCTGAAAAGGCTTTTGTAATTGGTTTAAGACAATTGGCAGCCTACGCCTTGGTGGCTTTCTTTGGGGTTTTTGACTTCTTGCTGTGGCTTTCTTGGGCGCTTTGGTTTTCGTAGGCTTTGGAGCTGCCTTGGCTTTCTTGGGAGACTTAGTAGCTGCTTTCTTCTTGGGAGACTCGGCCTTCTTGGGTGCTGCAGGTTTCTTAACAGCCTTTTTCTTTTCTGTTGGCTTTTTCTCCCCGGTTGTCTTCTTGGGTTTGGTCGTTTTCCTTGGGCTTGGCAGCCTTAGGGTTTGGTGACTTTTTTGGTCTTGGGTTTCTTCTCCGTCTTGGGCTTCTCTCCCAGCTTGAAGGAACCACTGGCACCTGTACCCTTGGCCCTGTTTGAGAACTTCCCTTCTTGACTCCGTTCTTGAGGGCCATCTTCAGATGGGTGTTGACACTAGAGGCGTCATTACCGACTTTGTAGTTGCCCATGATGTACTTGAGAATAGCTTGTCTCGAGGAACCTCCGCGCTCCTTCAGGGCAGCCACAGCGCGCTGATCATCTCGATGTACTTGGGATGGGCGGGACCGTCTTGGGTTTTGGAAACCTTCTTCTTGCGGGGGATTTTGCTGGTGCGGCGTCTGCCCATAATTTTTTGTCTGTTTTCTACAACTGATGTGAACGACGTTATCGACGATAAGGAAATGAATGAAATCACCTCCGCCGATGGCCTTATTTGAGTGGCGGCGAGCGCGGACCTCCGTGAAAACTCCCCAATTGTCGACAGCGTAGAGGATTGAACTCGTCCAACTTTGTGTTTCAATACCTGTAATTTTTCCGATATTGTCCTCCCAATTTTACTTAATTTTCTCAAATATGTCACTGTGCGTTTTCTTGAAATATTTTCCTACATAACTGTTTCCGTTTAAGGTTCTTAATCTGTCATTTTAAAGGAGGAATTGTCTGTTGATTCTGAAAATGCGCTGTTCCCTGGAGCCCAGAAGCGACTAATTTTGATTAAAACACGAAAACAAGAGGAATAGAACACGAGTAAGGGATTGAAGTACTTACTACATTGCTATGCGATAAAACATACATGTACATTTCTTTCAATTGTCTTATATGTTACTTAAAATCCGAATGAAAATGCAAACATTCGGCACAAACACGCGCACAAGGATAGTGATGTGTGCCTTGCATTTCATATGAAATGGAGAGAAAAAAAACAAAACAAAAACAAAACAACAAAAAAAAAAAACAAACAAACAAACAAACAAAAGGGTCATATGAAGAGAAATCACGGAAATCTCACAAATTGTTGAATGTTCAAATATATATCTAATATACTTTCTAGATCAGTGGATGTTCACCCCTTAAAGGGACAACATATAATTTCTTTTCGAATATTTAAATACATGACACCTACTTTATAATTATAACACCGAGGACACCGGGAAGATCCAGACGTACGTAACGTACCACATTCGGTGGTACAACGTCTGAATTTCTCAGTATAATTATATCATAAGAATATACATAACTGACATCCTTGTAAATTACATGAAAAAAAAAAAAAATCACATAAAAAGGGCGTGTATTTAATAATTGTAGAACACTCACTTAATTAGTAGTTATACATAAGAGAGAGACAGAGAGAGACGAACAAGGCGAATCATGGGAGTAGCTTATTCATTGATATTAATTTGTTTCTTGTAATTTACACACACAAATAATTGAGTACATGTAAAATAAACAGAATGTGGTCAAAAGCCAATGTATTTAAAATCTATATCTTTCAAGTTGAACAAGACAACCAGTATATAATACAAGACAATACAATACATTGATACAAGCATCAAATTGGTTGCACACTTTCCACGTGCAGATCATGATTCCCTGCATCTATATGTCACGTGACGATGCAGATGTGCTGCACGGCGCAGTGATGGACATCGCAATAAATGTAAAGTGTTAAAAAAAATGTCGTTTAGTCATTCGCATCGGTAGTCTATTCGAAAGAAATTTACTACCAGTGTTTAATTGTGTTAGTACTGTAAGTATCCGGAAACTGGCATCGAGTTGCTTTTATTCACTCTTATTATGGGAAGCACACTTTTTTGAATAAGAACATTCAAGACATATATAAACCACATCTTCTTATTCTTATGAGATTCTTATATTCATCACTTTTATCTATTTTATCAATTAGGAATTTTGTCTAAATAATCATCATATAAAACAATAGCGAGGGGGAAAAAAAAAAGAAGAAGAAACATTAAGGATTTAACTGGAGTTACAGATCTTTTGAATATGTTAATAAAATAATGATCATATTTAAAAATATTTGTATTAAAGGAAAAAATTGAAAGTTAGATCGCCATGTTAGATGATTTCCGCAGTTCTAGTCTTAATTGGTCAATGAAATGGGTTTTTTTTTTTTCTTTTCTTATCTCTTTGTTGAGTGAGCATTCAAGTATAAGTGAGAATTCAACATTTGTACGCAGGCCTATAAGGTTTGGATTCAACTGCCTATAACGAGAAAGAAAAAACGTACATATACGAATATACATGCGAGTCAATTTTTAAATTTATTGCTTTTGTTATTGACTTAATACATTTATTTATCATTAAATATATAACACTTTCTTTGATGTTTGATCTCTGTTCTGTGTTGAAAATTATTGAATTCGTGTGTTTCTATTATTTTCTAGCTATAATAATTGTTTACGTTTCAACTCGTTTGTAATGTAGGTATCTTTTCGAAAAGCTTATGTGGCCGTGAAAACGGCCGTTTGGTTTTGTGCTGCACACAACACAACTATAGGATCTTTTTACTTGGCGGCTTTCTGTGTCTTTTTGGGAAGGAGCACCGCTTGGATGTTGGGCAGGACACCACCCTGCGCGATGGTCACGCCGGACAGGAGTTTGTTCAATTCTTCGTCGTTGCGGATGGCCAGCTGCAGATGACGGGGAATGATTCTGGTCTTTTTGTTGTCGCGGGCAGCGTTGCCTGCCAACTCCAAGACTTCTGCGGCCAAGTACTCAAGAACGGCAGCCAAGTACACGGGAGCGCCTGCTCCCACTCTCTCGGCGTAGTTGCCCTTTCTCAGCAGACGGTGAATACGACCCACGGGGAACTGCAGTCCGGCGCGGGAAGAACGGCTCTTGGCCTTCCCCTTCACTTTGCCTCCTTTGCCACGTCCAGACATTCTTAACGGTTATGTTCTTTCGTGTACAGTCAACGAATAATCCCAGCGACGCCCGCACGCACCAATTTAAACAACCAAGCGGATCCAACGGTGCAGCCAATTAACGCGTCGCTCTGTTGTGCCTTTAGGTGAAATCCGAACAAGTAATGTTTTCTCGGAGGTCCGTAACAAGCTTCTCCTCCTACTCGCATATAAATAGTAAATTTTACCATTTCACTTTATTCATCTCTTCAGTTTGACCTGTCAACTTGAGATCATGCCACCCAAAGTCGGATCCAAAGGCGCCAAGAAAGCAGTCACCAAGGCCAAGACACCGAGGAGCACAGACAAGAAAAGGAGGAAGAGGAGGAGGGAATCTTATGCCATTTACATCTACAAAGTCCTAAAGCAGGTGCACCCTGACACTGGTGTTTCCAGCAAGGCCATGAGCATAATGAACTCCTTCGTCAACGATATCTTTGAGAGAATCGCTGCCGAAGCCTCTCGTTTGGCCACTACAACAAGCGATCTACAATCACAAGCAGAGAGGTCCAGACTGCTGTCCGTCTCCTTCTGCCCGGTGAACTGGCCAAGCACGCCGTATCTGAGGGCACCAAAGCCGTCACCAAGTACACCAGCAGCAAATAATCTCATTTTGCAAGTACACACACCAAACGGCCCTTTTAAGGGCCAACTAATTTTTTAGAAAAGATACCTTCATATTACATGCGTTATTGAGACACAAAATAATATGTACGAGTGTTACAATGTGAATGCATGTGCTCGTAAAAGTGGCAAACGTATAAAAATCCACATTGTTTACAACTGATTATAATAACAGAAGTAGGATAAATAAAGAAATACAAGTAGGTATTATTATATGAATGAGAGCCAAATTTTATTCACAAATAACTTGAATGTACAACCAAGCATATATCTGAAATAACTGTATCTTCAAATATAAATAAAATACAAGCATGCGAGGTCCATCTGATGTACACAAAATCCTGGTTCATTTGTCCTCTGTATACTGAATTAATTATCAGCGTACATTATATAATTGATAATAAAGTATCTCAATTCAGCTAATATCAATGAAACAGATAAATAAATTCAAGACCCCCCCCCCCTCCCCCTTTCTTTGACATTGACATATTGGAATTTTCAATCAGTAATTATACATCAATAAAAGTGCAATGACCAAAATGCGATAATTATACATTGACAATTAATTGTCTAACATTAGTCATAATTGTTAAACAAGAAAAAAAAGCATGTCACTCAGCGCCAGTTGGTACCTGTCATTGTCGGTAGATCGATCCCTCAAAATAATACTCAAGACAGCAGCATTATTATTTTAATATATGATTATAATAATAAAAAAAAATTAAATAATATATACTGTTTGTGTGTGTTTATTCAATATTTCTTGTCCAAACCTAAAATTCAATACATATTTGTTGCTCTGTATATAGTTTGAGGAAATATTACGAACATAAAGGGTCTTACTCTGTTATTGTTGTGTATTTATTTTACCACTTACAACCATTCTGTATTCAACTTTGTACAGTGAATATCTGTATAACAAGTACTCAGTAAGTAAATGTCTGTCTTAACGATGTTTTAGAGGCATCTTTTCGAAAAATTTGGGTGGCCGTGATAACGGCCGTTTGTGTTTGTTTTAAACTTCTGTCTTGACTGTCAAACTGAATTCTTTAGCCTCCAAATCCGTACAGGGTGCGTCCTTGGCGTTTCAAGGCGTAGACCACGTCCATAGCTGTGACGGTCTTTCTCTTGGCATGCTCCGTGTAGGTTACAGCATCTCGGATCACGTTCTCCAAGAAAACCTTAAGAACTCCACGAGTTTTCCTCGTAGATGAGACCGGAAATACGTTTGACACCACCACGGCGAGCAAGACGGCGTATGGCTGGCTTGGTGATACCCTGGATGTTGTCTCTCAAGACTTTTCTGTGTCGCTTAGCGCCTCCTTTTCCAAGACCTTTTCCTCCTTTGCCACGTCCAGACATGTTATAAGTTCAGTCAGTAGTACTGTTCTGATGAACTGATCATGCGTAATTGCCTAATTTATAGTCCAAATTGAGGACCCGTGAGAGCGCACGATGCTTTGAAAAGTTCGGAACGTTACCAAAGCGGTATTGTGACAAGCTTTACGATTGGTCAGCTTGGCATGATGGGAATGTTTACATTTCTTGCCCCACAGGTATTTTAACCACATTTAATTAATTTTGATTCTTTAATTTCTTCACATATAGGCAAGTTTATGTTCAATTTATTCACCTAAACCAAAATATTGGTACGTGGAGGTACATATATACATTTTATACAAACTGGTATACAAAACAACAACAAAAAAAAAAAAAAAAAAAAACATGACAGAAAATGAATAAAAATGATAAAGAGAGAGAGGGAATTATATCAAGCAGGACAGACAGCATCATAATTTTTTAGGATAAACATACACAATTTTTTGTTTTGTTGTTGTTATTTTTTTTATTTCAGTATTTTTTGCTTTGAGTTTAACAAAATAAATACCGTTGTTGCCGAATGATAATTAAAACGTGGGTGGGTGGGTGGGGATTAAGTTATTCAAAGGAAAGGGGTGTGACAGATAACACCGAAATAATACAAAATGTAGAAGCTGAATGAAACTTTTGATTCTCATTCATTTATGATATCTAGTTATAGATGTGATCATTTATTTGATTTCCTCTTTTCTCAGTTAATTTTCAAAGGCAACTTTAAGCAGTGACCAAACCGGCTTTATAAATGAGCCTTTTTCATTTTATTACACGCCACGTTAGAACGAATATCGTTATATTTGACGTTGTTTAGAAATCAATAAAAATCATACTTTGAATATAAATGAAATACGGAATTGCAGTTCTGAAATGCATGTACTCGCATATGTGCATAGCTGTAGAACTAATGAGATAAAGTTGTAATACTGTTATTATTTTTTGCTTCGACACATTCCATCATATTCTATTTAAATAATTGTGCTATTTTCTAATTTATTTCGCAAAATTCTTGAATGTATTCTAGAGGGGCAGGTTGATGGACTTGTACAAAATATAGTTTCAAGATGTGTAGACAACTTCTACAACAAATTGATGATGACAATAGTACTATGAAATTGTCTAGCATTGTGCTCTTTCATAATTTATGTAATTATATATATGCAAGGCACAGATATATTCACTGAAGGATGTATTGTGTCTCAACATTTTTTTTTTTTTTTTTTTTTTTTTTTTTTTTTCCAATTTGGGGGCATTGTTCGCTGAATTTGATAAAATTTATTAATTTCGGCCAAATAATTCAACATTATTTTCAGAGATGTTTCAACGTCTGAACAGAAGGCATCTTTTCGAAGAATGTAGGTGGCCGTGAAAACGGCCGTTTGCTTTAGGACTTGAAATACAGCTTAAAATTAAGCACGCTCTCCACGAATACGTCTGGCCAGCTGGATGTCTTTGGGCATGATGGTTACTCTCTTGGCGTGAATGGCGCACAGGTTGGTGTCCTCAAAGAGACCAACAAGGTAAGCTTCGCTTGCTTCCTGTAAAGCCATGACAGCTGAACTCTGGAAACGCAAGTCGGTCTTAAAATCCTGAGCGATTTCCCGGACCAAGCGCTGGAATGGCAGCTTCCTGATGAGAAGCTCAGTGCTCTTCTGGTATCTCCGAATTTCACGGAGGGCGACAGTTCCTGGCCTGTATCTATGCGGTTTCTTAACGCCACCCGTGGCTGGTGCGCTTTTACGAGCAGCTTTGGTAGCGAGCTGTTTTCTGGGGGCCTTGCCTCCTGTAGATTTTCGTGCCGTCTGCTTGGTACGTGCCATGCTATCTCCTCAGATTATTCAAACTCGAATGAATGAAGTGGCAGTGTTGCGCCGTGAACTTATATATCTTTGTAAGCTCAAGTTGAAAATCGCTGCGGTCTACCAGTCGGCTTAGTCGATTGGCTGGTGCCCGCAGTAACACTCGCTACGATTAGTCAGGTGAACGAGATGACCATTGGCTACGTCTGTAGGTAGTTTCAATCCACAGAATTGCCCCAAAAGAAAAAGAAAATCAAGTCGGTTTTTGACACATGATTTCACTGCAGATACATATAGTCAAATATTTTTTTTTTAAATATATATATGGTGAATAATGGGGATGAATGTAACGTCAATTGAATAGAAAATAGAATTATTTATTATATATATATACATATATTTTCAATTCGTTATTGAAGCAAAATGCATTTTCGAAAAATATATATTATATATTTCTTGTCATTATTTCCTCCTACCATTATCTGAACAAGCCCAGTAATATTACTAAGTATCATGATACTTGCAGATAATCAGAATGGTGCATATAGGATGAACAGGAATTACCCTGTTGCAAAAACAAGAACAAAACAAATAATACAAATAAATGAATAATTAATTAAATGAATGAATAATTAAATAAATGAATGAATGAATAAATGAAAAGAATAAATAAATGAAACGAATAAGAATGTATGTATCTGTCTTTCAATAGGTACGCATGAACTTTTATTCCATTCGTTCCACATTTGATTCCAAATAAAGTGGGGGGGAAAAAAAAGAAAAAAAAATATTAACAATAATAATAATAATAATAAATAAATAAATAAAATAAATTAATAAATAAAATTAAATAAAATAAAGAAAATTAATAATAATAATAAAACTTCAAAAAAAAGAAAAGAAAAAAAAATACTAGAATGATAACACTAATAATAATGGCCATATAGTTTGCGTAGGCGTTGTGATGTGGAAAAAGTAAAATTTTATTTACTTGAGGGAGGGTATGTAAACAAATAAAAACTGACTTTTGTTTCTTCTTCTTCTCAGAAAACAGCATGTTAATATTATCATGACTTTGTAATTTGCTTCCAGTCGAAGACAAATAAACTATGTGTAATAGGTAAGTGTACTTCTTGTTTATTCATTTTGTGTTTCCATTAGTACATGTATGTAATAGAGGCA